GCCACGGCCTCCTGCAACCCTTTGCCAGAAAAATAGGCTCCCAAGCTCCGTTTTCAGCTGCCACAGCCTCGTGCAACCCTCTGCCAGCAAACATAGGCTTCCAAGCTCCATTTTTGGCTGCCACGACCTCCTGCAATCCTTTGCCAGAAAAATAGGCTCCCGAGCTCTGTTTTCAGCTGCCACAGCCTTCTGCAACCCTCTGTCAGCAAAAACGGAACTCGGGAGGGCCATCTGTGGCTTTCCCAAGCTCCGTTTTCAGTGGCAGAGGCATCATGGGATGCCTTCGCTGTTTCCTCTCCTCCTTCGCTGTTTCAAGGAAGCTCCACAGGCCAGGTCTAAATACTCCATGGGCTGGATCCAGCCCCTGGGCCTTGAGTTTGACACCCCTGCTCTAAAGGGAACATTGATGCTACCTTTAGGAGAAGTCAGCAAGGCTTGCTTATTTTAGAAGCAGCTGTCTTTGCTTCCTAAAAGAAGAGTCAATCTCATAGTAATCGACTGTCCGCTGTTTATGGAGCTGAAAATAGCTGCACTGCAGGCACTTCTGCAAGCTGGAATATCTCTCAGAGACAGATGTTTTGAAGAGCAGCACATTTGCATGATGTGAACGCTGAGGCTAGCAAATGGCCTCGTCTCCTCTTTGGTGGATGCTGGAAGCTTGCACGGGGAAACCAGCCACCTCTGAAGTCAGGTGCAGATTTGTCAGTTAGAGAGAAGCAGGTTTCCAGTTGAATAAAGACACTTTTCATACCTGGGACCAAGGAGCCAGGTACCTTGGACAGTTCCAAAGGAGCCCTGCTAGCTGGAATTCTTGGCTCACTGTAGGGAGCTGTCTCAAGGAGCTAATAAAAGCATCAGGTGGGTTATTAAAGCTTACATTGTAATTAGTTCTGTGCCTTGGATGATCAGATACAATTGTTAAAAGGTTCCTCGCTTGGTTTTAAAACAGCTGATTTTGAAAATCAGCTAGGAAGGAAGGAAGGAAGGAAGGAAGGAAGGAAGGAAGGAAGGAAGGAAGGAAGGAAGGAAGGAAGGAAGAACAGACAGCAAAGCTTGGATGGGAGAGAGTTAAGAAGGCTCCCGTGTAGACGTTCTCAGAGTACATCTTTAGTAATGCATATAATGTAGTTGGTTTAGGTTGTCAAGATTCTGTCTATAGGTGAGAAACAAAGGAAACTGCTTAGACGTAACTGTATGTTGTCTTGGTTTTTTGAGCCTGACCAACAGACGCAAAGAATCAGGACCATTTGTTTAGATTGCAGCATAAATGATTGATTGAAGTCTATACACAAGAACCTAGTCAACTGCTGGTTGGCACTACACTGATGCTAGATAAGAGTCAATGGAATTCAAGGAAGGGGGGCAGGTAGACTTGGATCTCTTGTGGCAAAGCAAAGATTCTAAACTGATGGTGCATTCTGCTCCACCCTCCAGTTCTGCGTACTCTTCTCCTGCACTGACATCAATCTTGCCAAATTCAAGCAGCATCATTAAAGATATATTCTGAGAATTACTAGGGAAGAGGTGCTAATATTATCTAAACTCTGTGAAGAAGTTATATAGCCTGGTAAACGTTTGGAAGCCAACCCACAAGCTTGGAGAATGAACCTTCACCCCTCATCCTATACCCGAGTTACAGATATTCACCGCTGTTGCCAAAGTCCATTGTCTCTTATTTCTCTGGAACGCATTCCCTGGGAATCCAGACTACCTTCTACCACAGGACGCAACCTCTGAGTTTTTAGGAGACTGGAGGCTAAAACATACAAAGGACAAACCTCTCTGGAGGTTTTCAAGAAGAGACTGGGCATGATATATGGTTTCCTGCCTAAGCGGGGTCCTAAAAGACCCCCAAGGTCCCTTCCAACTGTGTTATTCTGTTAATCTTATGGGATGATAGTCAAATACTGACCAGGAGATCTAAAAAGGGAGTGAGTCTCCTTCTTCTGAGAAGCGGTCTGAGCTTAGAGTTGCACCATACTCTTCCATCACACGTACGAGATTTCCTAAGCAAGGAAGATAACCAAGGTTGCGTTTGAGTGACAGCCTGGCTTGAGTTGTAGTCCAATGTTGTGATTGTCACCTGTCTATCCCGTCTGATTCTTTTTCCATCCAGGCTGAATAGGTAGTCATGGCGATGACCGAGGTGCCTGCAAAACTTCCATTAGACGTGCAAATGTTGCTTCTGCATTCTAGTCATTACTGTTATGGATGATTAGCAACTCCATGCAACCGTAAATAGCCTGAAACAGGATCTGGGACAATTTAAGCATGGTGTGAGGGGGCCCTTTTGATTCTTGGTGTGTCTGCAAATCGATCCTTTGTGTTGTCTCAATTTTCCCTCCTTTCTAAGTACGGCATTTTCTCATTTGCTAAAGAAACCCCTTTTTGTCCGCTCAGCATGGAGTAGCCATGGCTGGTATTAAGATCTTTCCTTACCCTCCATTGAATTCCCAAATTGATGAGCTGCCAGGTCAGACAAAGTAGAAAATCAAAGATGGAGGCGTGCACTGCACCGTAATCCGAGATGTTTTCTTAGTTGGTTGAGAAAATTAAATGTCAGTCCTGGAACGCATGAAGGTCATTGGATTTTATTACCTAAAGTAATGTACACAGATCTGCCTTGACACGTCCATTTGTTAGGCAGGAACAGGCCATTTAGGGGGAGCTGGGTATGGATATGTAAATGAGTGAGACCAGATGATAGGATAGGATAGGTCAAATCAAGTCAGGATGGGATAGGATAGGTAAAAGTAAAGATTCCCCTCGCACATACATGCTAGTCATTTCTGGCTCTAGGGGGCGGTGCTCATCTCCATTAAAAAACTGAAGAGCCAGCGCTGTCCGAAGACGTCTCTGTGGTCATGCAGTCGGTGGGACTGTTACCTTCCCACCAAAGGGGTCCCTATTTTTCCAGTTGTATTTTTACGTGAATTCGAACTGCTAGTTTGGCAGAAGCCAGGACAAGTAATGGGAGCTCACTCTGTTATGCAGCGCTAGGGATTCGAACTGCCAACCTTTCTGATCATCATACTCAGTGTCTTAGCCACTGAGCCGCCACATCCCTTTTATAGGATAGGATAAGATGATAAGATAATAGGATAGGATAGGTCCAATCAAGTCAGGTTAGGATAAGATAGGAAATGAAAGGATAAGTCAAGACAAGACAAGATAACCTTTAGTCTCATTTTTTACTGTGGAAACACTGGCCCACATTAAAAATGAAATTCTATTGCCTGCTCTCAAAAGAAAATATACATCTAGCCATGCATGTACATAACACACATGTACACCAATGGTGGTATTCAGCCGGTTCGCACCGGATCGGGTGAACCAGTAGCAAGAATTTGGCATGGGTTGCCGAACCGGTAGTAAGTTCTGGCTGGCCACGCCCCCCACCCGGTCGCCCTCCTGCCGGACCTGCCTGCCCGCCTGACATTCGCCTAAGGTATTTCTTTCTTTTTTTCTCTCTCCCGACAATCAGCTGTAGATACGATTAGCTGTGCCGGGATTCTCCTTGCTGAGGCCCTGAAAGGAAAAAAATGGAGGGAGGACCTCAGCCCCTCCCTCCATTTTTTGCCTTCCAGAGCCCCAGAGGAGCCTTAGGGGAGCAAAAACGCTCCCCCAAAGGCTCCTCTGTGGTTAGGAAGCTCCCCAAAATGGGTGGGGACTGCAAAAGAAGCCACGCCCACCTAGTCACATGGCCACGCCCACCGAGCCATGCCCACAAAACCAGTAGTAAAAGTTTTTGAATCCCAAAACTGATGTACACATGCTATTACATATATATGTAATATACAGCTCAAGCGTCGCTTAAGTGCCATGTTCTAGATAGAATAAACCATATGATGAATGATTGAGGGAACAAGGTCCATCTGGTCTAATGAGGAAAAAGGTTAAGGGTGACATGATAGTAGTCTTTAAATATTTGAGGGTCTGTCACAGAATAGAGGAGGTCAACCTGTTCTCCACAGCACCTGAAGACAGGACAAGAAGCAAAGGATGGAAACTAATTAATGAGAGATCCATGTCAGGGTTCCGACTATTGCCCTAATTAAATCATGAGCCTCAAGCCAAGTTCAAAAGAATTCCAAAGATTTAATAGGAGCAACATGTCCAGCACTAACCCATATAAAGCCAACTCTGAGACACATAATTTACTATCACCTATGACCCTATTTGTCCCCACCCCCCCAAAGGTGTCATAAATCAGATTCTCCAATGAAACACATTCTCCGGGCTGGGTGTCATCAATCACACTCTCCAATGAAGGATTATTGCGGGCAGAAGATCCAGTAGCCTAGGCTACCATCTTCACAAGATAAGTGTGGAATGTACTCCTGGCCTTCATCTGCCGCACCTGCTCCTTCATGCCTCCCCCCCCTTCTTATGGCAACTCAGAAACAGACATAGGAATGATTTACGAGTTGACAATCCAATCCAGAGCTAAGGAGAGAATTCTTTAATGTGAGAAGAATTAACTATTGGAACGGCTTGCCTCCAGAAGCTGTGGATGCTCCATCACTGGAGGTTTTCAAGAAAAGATTGGACTTGTCCGGAATGGTAGAGTATCTCCTACTTGAGCAGGAGGTTGGTTGAGACCTCCAAGGTCCCTTTTAACTCCATTATTCTGTTCTGTTTTTGTTCTGCTTGAGCGGGGGGTTGGACTAGAAAACTTCCTAGATCCTTCCCAACCCTACTATTCTATGTTCTAGATCGGGGGTCTCCAAATTTGACAGCTTTAAGACCGGTGGACTTCAACTCCCAGAATTCCTTCTCCTGTCTTGTTAGTTCAGGAATTCTGGGAGTCTTAAACTTGCCAAGTTTGAAGGCCCTTGTTCTAGATGAAGCAGGATCAGAAAGACTTTCTGAATCTTCTTTCTTTCTTTCTTTCTTTCTTTCTTTCTTTCTTTCTTTCTTTCTTTCTTTCTTTCTTTCTTTCTTTCTTTCTTTCTTTCTTTCTTTCTTTCTTTCTTTCTCCTCCTTTTCATTCCCCGTAGGATTGGCTGACCAAGTTTGGCTACCTGCCCCCACCGGATCCCATCACCGGACAGTTGCAGACCCAAGAAGAGCTCACCAAAGCCATCATGGTGATGCAACAGTTTGGAGGACTTGAAGCCACCGGCATTCTAGGTCAGTGAAGAACCTGGAATGGGTTGGGAGACACATAGTTCCGTTTTCTATTCCAGGTGGAGGTAAAGGCTACCGCTTTGATGGGACAGGTCTCCCTTGGTGGTGGGATTCAGAAAGTTTTACTACCAGTTCTGTGGGCATGGCTTGGTGGGCAGGGGAAGGATACTGCAAAATCCCCCTTCCCTCCCCATCCCTCTAACCTGCTTTCCAGCTCCGTTCTCCTGTGCAGGGCAACCAGAGAAGACCCAGCCAATCAGCTGGGACTCAGGAGACAGAGAATAGATGGGGGTGGGACCAGTCAGAGGTGGGATTTGCCGGTTCTCTGAACTACTCAAAATTTCCACTACCAGGTCTCCAGAACCAACTGAATACCACCTCTGATTCTTTCCCTTTGTTCCTCTCTTCCTTCCCCCTTCTTCCTCTCCTCCTTCCCCTTTTGTTCCTCTCTTCCTTCCCCCTTCTTCCTCTCCTTCTTCCCTTTTTGTTCCTCTCTTCCTTTTCCTTTCGTTCCTGTCTTCCTTCCAGTGGTGGGATTCCTTTTTTTTTTACTACCGGTTCTGTGAGTGTGGATTGTTGGTCGTGGTGTGGCTTGGCTTGGTGAGCATGGCAGGGGAAGGATATACTGCAAAATCCCCCTTCCCTCCCTACCCCACTAACCTGCTTCCCAGCTCCATTCTCCTGTGCAGGGCAACCAAAGGAGACTCAGCCGATCAGCTGGGACTCAATGGGAGGCAGAGAAGAGACGGGGGCAGGGCCAGTCAGAGTTGGGATTTGCCGGTTCTCCGAACTACTCAAAATTTCCACTAGTGGTTCTCCAGAACTGGTCAGAACCTGCTGGAATACCATCTCTGGCCTCCTTATATCTTCTGGGAAGAACATTCTGTGCTGGAGAGTTGAAGGATGGGCCATAATTCATGGGTGCGTTTTGGGGCTTTCCCGGACCAATCTCAGAAATTGAAGGCTTAAAGCCAGAGATTCAAGGGCACCGTTCTGATAAGATATATTTATGGCAGAAATGCTCTTTGTCAGGAAGAAAACCAGGGACTGCCAACTCTAGGATTGAAGTCCTGCACTCACTAGATTCAAATCCTCCAGCATTTTCTCCACCCTTAGGTTGCAGTGGAATGAGAACCATGGCGTTGCATATATTTCATTAGCAAACTAGGTGCTGCTAGCACTGATGATGTTACCTAATTTGACAATGAAACATCTGCAAGAAAACCTTCAACTTCAGAGACCACTGAGGACCCTCCTCCTCCTCCTCCTTCTCCTCCTCCTCCCCTACTCTTCCTCCTCCTCCTCCTCCCCTACCCTTCTTCCTCCTCCTCCTCCTCCCCTACTCTTCCTCCTCCTCCTCCTCCTCCTTTCTAGCACTGATATTACCTAGTTGGTAATGAAACATTCAGAAGAAAACTGCCACGCCCAGAGACCACCAAAGATCTCACACTCCTCCTCCTCCCCGCTCTTCCTCTTCCTCTCCACAACTCCCTCCCATCTAGCACTGATGATGTTACCTATTCGGGTAATGAAACGTCTGCAAGAAAACTGCCAAGCTCAGAGAGCACCAAGGAAAGGAAAACACCTTTATATAAGATCACCCCCCTTGCCAGCATGAATGTCAAGAAGTCGTAATGCCCTGCCTGTGAAACTGGCCTGCTTTGCCCTCGCCCGTGCCATCCTCTGTCCTCATATGGCCTTCTGCTCATTAGGGAGCCCCACCCTCTTGCAAACAAGGAGGGTGGGGATGCTGATTGGCTCCTTAAGGACTCCGTAGCCCATGCTTCTCTTCTGGCAGCGCTCTTCAAAGCTCTTTGCCCCGGCCTCTAGCAGCCATTTGCCAGAGCTCTTCTCACCTTGCTCCTTAATTAAGGAGACGTCATTATTATTATTATTATTATTATTATTATTATTATTATTATTATCTTTTCCTTTCCCATCTTATTAAATGTTCCAAGTTGCCTGGGAGCCAAACAAAGAACGGTTGATTTTCATTTTTATTCTTCTTTTTTTCCAAACACATCCACTCCAAGGATTGAAGATAGAAAAGGCAACGCCACTTAACGTTCAAAATCGAGCATGCAGTTTCTTCCTTTGGAAAGGTTAATGGAAAGAACATTTTGCAAAAGTTATTTCCCACCCCCCACCCCACATTTTGGGGTTGTTGTTTTTTTTTTCTTGGGAAAAAAATCAGTTCTGTTCTTAACATAAGCCCTCTTGAAGTACCGTTTTCGATTGCTTTGCCGTTCTGGATTGCTTTTCTATTTTCTATTTTCTTTCTCGCTGCAGGAAGAGTAAAGTTTTATTTGATTTTTTTGGATTTTAGCTTGTGAGGGCCAGAGGAGGTATAGATGGAGGAAGGAAAATTAGGCAGATTTTCATCCCCCGCTTTTGAAAATTGGGGGAGGGGGAGGGGATGACTTAACAAAAACTAGAAACTAAAACAATTGATGAATGGTGAAAGCGTCTACTCTAACAAAAGAGAAAGATTAGGGGAGACATGATAGTAGCCTTTCAATATTTGAGTGCCTGCCAGAAAAAAATAGGGGGACAAGACCAGAGGTGGTATTCAGCAGGTTCTGACCAGGTCTGGAGAATCCGTAGTGGAAATTTTGGGTATTTTGGAGAACCAGCCAACACCATCTCTGACTGGAGATTTTATAGTATCCTTCCCCTGCTACACCCTCCAAGTCATGCCCACAGAACCAGTAGTAAATACAAAATTGAATCCCACCACTGGGGACAACCTATTCTCCAAAGCCCCTGAGGGCAGGGCGGGAGGAAGAATATAAAAAGAGAAATCCAATGTGGAAATAAGGAGAAATTTCCTGACAGTGAGAACAATTAAACACTGGAACCGCTTACTTCCAGAAATGATGGGTGCTCCATCTACAAAATATCTCAAAGGCTTCTACTGTTACTTTAGTATAAGTTTGTTTTTTTTAAACCCCAGGTGGGATATTGTGATCATTGTCTATAAAAATTGAGGACGATCCAATATTCTTTTTGTCAGAGTGTTTGCAGCATGACTACTATTATGAGACAACCCAGGCGCTAAACACAGCACACAGAGTTAGACATTTAACAGTGATTTATATACAACAGTTATATACAGAAATATATGTGGTAGGCAAAATACCTTACAAGCAATCTTTCTTCATCTTAACTCTACACAGAGAACTCTGCAATGGATACCAGACACAAGGAGAGAGAGAACGCCCTCTAATGGCTGCCTTTATATAAACACCTCTTAAAGGGATAGAACCCATCCCCAGTCTTAAAGGGCAGTACTAATGCCGATTCATCTTCATTGCATCAGCCCTCTATTGCATCAGACTTACAGCAGCTTCGCCGCTGGTTGGCTCTTAAATCCCAAGACCTTAACACTTTCTTTGGGGTCTTTTGGGGGGGATCTGTAGATGAAGCCACCTTCAAACTGATGAAGACACCTCGTTGCTCTTTGCCAGATCTTGCAGAATCAAAGACGAGGAAGAAGCGAAATAGCCAAGGAGTTACCAAGTGGAACAAAAGGAATTTATCCTGGAGGTAGGAAATTAAATCATTCACGTCATCACTGCTCTTTTGATGAATGACGAAGGAGGCTCTTCTCTCCAATGATAGTATAACCACCTGACTGATGCCTTTTAACGTGTGTTGGATGCAAATGCTCTCAAATTTGGTCTCCGTTATGATTTAAGGTGGCGAGATGTCTTGGTTCCTTCCACCTCCAGACAGAGCTTTGGTTTGCTTGGGGTCCAAACTGAGCGTTCTAGCTTGTTGGGTTGTTTGGTGAGTTTTGTTTGTAGGGTTGCAAATCATGATTTGGAGAGGATTGGTCAGCGTTGTGGTTTCAGGAGATGTGCTGGACACATGTTGGATATGTCTAGTTTAATGAAAAGAAGGACCAGGGGTAACATGATAGCAGTCTTCCAATATCTAAGGGGCTTCCAGAAAGAAGAAGCAGGGATCAACCTGTTTTCTGAAGAACCAGAGGGTAGGACAAGAAGAAATGGATGGAAACTAAACAAGGAAAGAAGCAATCTAGAACTAAGGAGAAATTTCATGACAGTGAGAACAATTAATCAGTGGAATTTCAAGACCTCCAAGGTCCCTTCCAACTCTTATTCTGTTAATCTAACCTGTTTTCCCAAGATGGGTTACGACACACAAGGTTCAGACCTCACCGGCAAGTTTGAAAGTTTGCCTTTTAACTCAACCCTCTTAAACACCGCTCCCTGGCCACCGAGGTCTTCAGATCTGAACCCGCTTCATGTAGGGAAAAAGATCAATTTGGCCATTGGGCAATGATTTATTCCCTCGCTAGGACTCTTAACATCAACGTGAGCTCTCCCCGGAGAGAACTTTGCGAGATGAAGAAGTTCTTCAGTTGGCGTCTCTCGACCTTAGCAACTCGTCCAAATTCATCCATGTGGCCAGAGCTCCCTCTACTGCCGCATCGGAGAGTTGGTGAAGAGTTTGCAATGATCCACGAATTCAAGAGAATATAAGAAAGGAAAGCATGGAAGGAGCCTTCTGGAGAGATCCTCAGGCTGCAGCAGCCCCATCCCTGGAGGTCTTCAAGAATAAAATTGGACAGCCATTTGTCCAAGATGTGAGACGGTCTCCTGCCTTAGGGAAAGAATTGGACTAGAAGACCTTCAATCTTAGGAAGCTTCTCCTCCAGTAATATTGAATTGCTAACTAAGGCATACAAAATCTTTGCTAGACCAATACTTGAATACAGCTCAGCTGTTATGTCCTGAGAACTCTAGGAGTTCTCACTCAGGTCCACTCACTTTGTGTGGGCGTTATTTCCCCATTCCCATTGGTTGGTTCTCTCCAGCAGCCAGCTATAAAAGCAGGCTGCGGGGTCCAACCAGTTGCTGATTGCTGCGAGCCAGTTCCAGGCGTGGCAAGCACGGTCAGCCCTTTATTGTAAAATAAAGTATTGTTGCACTCATGCTCTGGTTCAGCCTCTCATTGCTCAAACTTAACATCAGCCATCTAGAATCTGCACTGTATTCGGACGTTAATGCAACTGAGTGAGTCCAGAAGTATTTCACAAGAAGAGTCTTCCACTCTTCCGCTTGCAACAGAATACCCTACACCAGCGGGCTTGAGATTTTGGGCTTGGATAGCCTAGAACTACGCCACCTACGGTTGGACCTAAGTGTAGTACACAAAATTATCTGCTGCAATATCCTACCAGTCAATGACTACTTCAGCTTCAACTGTAACAATACAAGAGCACACAACAGATACAAACTCAATATAAACCACTCCAAACCTGATTGCAGAAGTCATTTTCCCTGGAGGCATGAACGGAAAGAAGGAGGATACCCCTTGTCTACCTCTCACGAAATTATTTTGAGCCCCCAAGCCGCCATTGCGGAACTGCAAACCTGTACCAGCCATTGCCGCTCCACACTGAGACCTGGTGGGGAGATGAAGCAAAGAAACTTCACCCTCCTTTGCTCACTCCATCTGAATTATTTCCTCTCTTGCTTCTGATACCCCCTCGGAATCTGGTCAGACATAAAAAGAGATTAAAAATGCAATCCATGAATAAAGCAGCGCCTGGAGCTAGGTCTTATTTTATGGATGCGGATGTCTGGCCATGTTCAGTGAAGGGTAAGAAGATCTTTGCAGGTGCCAAAGCCGGAAAGGAAAAATGCTTTACCTGTATGCAGAGATAATGAGCCATCGATGGCCTTCTGGGCGTGCAGTGAGGCTTCATTCATTGACACTTTGAACTAATGAATTTCTCCACTTGGCTTTCTGCAAATATCAACGCTGCCAACTCAGAAATGAATTTCTATCCCTTGTGAGGGCCAGATTAAAAGCCACAGGCTCACCCACCCCCCCAAAAAAAATCAGCTGCTTTCCACCCCGGTTTTATCAGGAAGCTACACCAGCAACGTTGGGCAGAAGCGTGGAAGGAAGAGGAGACACATTGCTCCGAGTCCTACGGGGCTCTGCTTTGCGTCACACTCCTATACTTTGCTGTCTTTCAGCCTTCATCCTTAAAGGAACCAGCAGGAAAGAAAAAGGAAGGAAGGGAGGAAGGAAGGAAGGAAGGAAGGAAGGAAGGAAGGAAGGAAGGAAGG